CAGGTGAGGTTCTTTGAGTTCAGAAGAACATGATAAAAAGTGTAAATAAAAGCCAATAATCACATAGTAAATATTAACAGAGCAGCCGTTTCCCAGGATGTCCTCAGGACGCACCAGTTTAAATACCATTGCCTGGCACAGTCTATACATTATATCTGAGAAAGAACAAAAGCAAGGCAGAGCCCATATGCAGATTCAGGGAAGACACTGGGGACAGCACTCAGCAATCCTTTTACCAGACTGTGTTCTATAGCTATGTTCCCACATCCAACATACAATGAACACATCTTGTACATGCATTGTAAGTGTTTAACACAGGAGGCACGATCACATGCAAGAACAATCCAGGGAACACAATGCACCCAAAGTAAAGGCTCTGACTTTTTCCCTGGAGCCTCTCTCATAGCTCCCCAAGGCATTGTTCTCCACTCCTCTGTCTTTTGACCATGTTCCAACAAGAGTGGCTGAATTTTACAAGATGCTACTTCTATATCTATAGAAGGACATAGGATTTCTATCTTGCATTCTGTTACCATAACGTGTCCATTTGGTTTGCATTTGTTGAACCATCTTTGCCAAGGACCACGATAGACATCTCTCCAAAGAAGATGCAGATGGTAACAGGCACGAGGGGAAGGCAATCAAGAGCACAGTGAAGTATCATCTCACACCTCACACAGCCGCTATCCCCACAGAACAAGCAGAGAAACTGGAATGCCCGCATACTGTTGGCAGGAATAGAAAATGGTGTAAGAGTAAGGGGGGAGTTAAAAAAGACCCTACCTCATGATCCCAACACTCCCACATCCAGGGATATGGCCATTCTTCTGTTTATTGCAGCACAACCAACCACAGCCCAAGCAACAAGCGACCCAAGTGCTCATCAGTGGGTTAATGGATAAAGAAAACGTGTTACATTTACTTAGCAGGGTGAACGCCGCTCAGGGTGAACATGCTGTACGAATCTGCTCTAGGACATCACGCTTACAGTTAACAGAACTAAACCGTGCACTTAAAGACTTATTTAAAGCTTTAAGCTGGCCATGGTGGTACACTGTGGAATTCTAACAGAAGGGGGAGACTCGGAGTCCAACCTGGGCTACTTGCAGAGACCCTGTCTCAAACACAAAGACAGTAAGCGTTAGTATATCACTATTTTTTTTAAGTTTACATGTGAAAATCAACTATAACCTGTCACAAAATTTCATAGTAAAGGAATGGACTTAGGATCTGGATTTGCATGCTACGTGACTTAGTTATTTTATACTGGATTCCTAGGGCTTTTCTTCATGAAATTGTTCTGTTAATTCTCTGTACTTTTCTTTCACTCTTAAATCTTTTTCTTTTTCTTTTTTTTTTTTGTTTTTTTTTTTTGTTTTTTTTTTTTTTTGGTTAGAGAGTCACCTGTAAAGCTCAGGCCTGACTTTATTTTATTGTATTTTAAAATGTTATGACAGAAGCTGGAGAGATGGACTAGGGGTTAAGAGCACTGTGATCCCACCTACCTATCACCAGCAGTCTGGAACTGTTCTAATAGGGCCAAGAAAAGTTTCCCTTGAGCCAACATGAAAAGGATTTCATGAACCTCCAAAGTATTGATCTGTAGGTTAGTACTGGTCAGCTCAAAGGATACATATTTTCTCCAAAGCACTGAGCTATTATATTGCATATACTTTTTTTTTTTTCCTGTATGGCAGGTCAGTGGGTTTTTGATCCTACTGCACGTACTGACTTTGTGGGAGCCTAGGCAGTTTGGATGCTCACCTTATGAGACCTGGATAGAGGTGGGCAGTCCTTGGGCTTCCCACAAGTCAGGGAACCCTGATTGCTCCTCGAGCAGATGAGGGAGGGGGACTTGATCGGGGGAGGGGGAGGGAAATGGGAAGCGGTTGCAGGGACGAGGCAGAAATCCTTAATAAATAAATAAATTTAAAAATTGCATATACTTTTTAAAGACTTATTTATTGCTTTACAGCTATGTATGTGTGTACCACATATGTGCAGGTGCCGATGGCAGCCAGAAGGGGGTATTGGTCAGGAGGTTGTGAGTTACCTGATGTAGATGCTTGAAACTGAACCCAGGTTCTCAGTAAGAGAATTAAGTGTTCTTCATTGCTGAGTCATCTTTCTAGCTGTCTTTGAGTTTCTATTGCTGTGAAGAGATGCCATGACCATGGCAACTCTTAGAAAAGAAAATATTTAATGCGAGTGGCTTACAGTTCAGAGGGGCCGTCCATTACCATCATGGTGGGACGTGATTGCATACGGGCAGACATGCTGATGGAGAAGGAGCTGAGAGTCCTACATCTTGCAGGCAGCAGGAAGTGGTCTCAAACACTGAACATGCTTGAGCATATATGAGACCTCAAGGCCCGCCTCCTCCAAGGCCATACCTACTCCAACAAAGCCATGCCTCCTGATAGAGCCACGCCCTTTGGAGGCCATTTTCTTCAAACCACCACCCAGCCTTCCATGGAAATCTTAGAATGAGGTTCCTAGGGATGTTTCAGAAGATGCTGAGTCACAGCTTCCTCCCCCCATAAAGATTAACACGAATTCAAGGCTCTTTCCTAACTATTAGGTCTTGTCTTCATTCCACTCTGAAGCCCTCTAAAGTCTAAAGCATTACTTCTCCTAGCTTTCCTCTTCTGTGTCTGACCCCATGGACCCTCCACCTGTCACTTAAGAGACTGTCACACTGCCCTGCATTTCTCCCAGGTCACTCCGAAGTTCTGCTGCTGCTGACTGCTGACTTAGTGACCTTCACCTGACCCTGGCAACAAAAATCTCACAGCTGCTTCTTTCAAATAACTTCGGAAGGAAAGTTCCCTTTAAGAGGCCCCTTGGGTACTTACCTTCTCTCACATCATCCATTCCAATCTCCAGTCTCACAAAACTTTAGGCTCCTCCTGAGGTCATTACAAGCCTATAAGCAAGGCCAATCAATTTTAATTTATATTGGGGCTACTCTGGTTGTCACAGCTGTTTGCTTTCCTTGGGGCTATCTGGACCTGTTTAGCAGGAACCATTTAATTCTATTCAATAATGTCTGTCTTGCACTGAGGTATTAAATAATCAAAAATTAAAAATTTTAAGAAACAACAAGACAAAACAAAAGCCCAACCCCTGAGCTTTGTCCATCTTGAGACACAAAGTGACAGACTCTTATGACAACGAAGATATTCACTCTTCAGGGGTCCTCTGTGCTCCCTTAGCTGCCATGGGAGATGAGGCCGACCTCTTTTTCTGCACACTAACTTACTCTGATTCCAACCAGTCCTTAGAATGTTCTAGATAATTAAACTATCATCTACCAAGAAATCAGGCTTATGTAAGGATAACCAGAAACCTCCAAAAATGAGGCAAGCACAGTTAATTTGGGAGAAGTCCAGGGAGGAATAATGGGTTCTTTTCTATAAAGGTCGACTTCCATAGTGGGACTGGAACAAAATACATACAGCAAAACTTTGCAGAAGGTAGATCTCTGAGTTGAGGGTACCCAAGACTACATAATGAGTTCCTGCCTAGCCAATGCTACATAATGAAGCCTCAAAAAACAAACATCAAATAATCAGAAACATTGGGAAACATGAAGAAACAGTTCTACCTTTGATAATGGGTAGGAAGCAGAAGCTGAGGAAGGACAGCAATCACTTAAAAACTGCTGTGAACCAACATGCAGGACGCTTTCTTCTATAAATTGCCTTGGTAATGATGTGTTTCCACACAATAGAAAAGTGGCTAAGACAAGTCCAGACTTTAAGATTATAGGACCAGGTATGGTACCACATATCCGTTTTTTTTTTTTCCATTGGGTGGCACACATCTTTAATTTCAGCACTCAGGAGGCAGAGGCAAGCAGATTCTGTGAGTCTGAGGTCAGCCTGGTCTACAGAGTGAGTTCCAGAAAAGACAGGACTATGTAGAGAGACCCTCTCCCTATCTAAAAACAAAATAAGAAACAACAAACAAACAAAAAAAAACCCACAACCAAGCAAACAACATCCTGATTATAGCTTAACTCACAAATAGGCTGAGAAGGATAGCGGTAAAATGACTTCAAGGAGCATTGTTACCTCTGGCAGTGAGGGCCAGAAAAAATTCTCAGTCTCTTAGAATATGAGATATTTTTATCATATTGCATTGCCACGATACAGTCTTAAAAGTAGTAAAAATTTTAGGTATAGTCACCTGTCACCTAGCACATTTGGTTAAAGATGGACCCTATATATTTAGGAAGTCCCATAGAATTCCAGTGGAGTTAAAGTTATTATTTGATGACTGTGCAGGAGTCCAAAAGCCATAGCAAAATGCAAGTGACTAAGTGATCCCTGCTGTACAAAAGGAGAGCCCACTTCCCCCACCTCCAGACATAGTCTTTGTACACATACAAAAACTGGTGTTGGGAACAGTATACCCAGCTATGAACAACAGTGATAGACACCTCAGGCATCTCTTTCTTGATGGCAATTGCTGGAAGCTGACCCTGAGCTCCTCACGCGCTGGTCCTATGCACCTTTCGAACTTTCAGGAAGTGTTAGGTCTGTAACTATAATCAGGTGGTCACATGCTGAGAGACACGTGACTCGTTTTAATCCTTGAATAATATAAGCAGACATCCTGACCATGTATGAACCTTCAATTTTGCATTTTCCAACTTTTTTTGGATCAGATTTTTCTGATAGAAATAATCTCTCAGTTCACATGTACTTCTGAACAGAGACGTCTCTCTGCCAAGTGGAGAAACATCACCTCCGGACAACCGTCCTCAGCAGAACCTGCAGGAATCTGCCTTGTTTGACCACAGGGATGAGGTGCCTAATCAACACTCCCGGGTTGGGGACTCCCTGTGACCTGACCCTGCCACACACCCAGGGCAGCAGGACGTGAGCGATTCTGCCTACGCTCTGCTTCAACGCCCTGGGCTGGAGGATGGGGGTGGGACTTCGGGCGGAATCACAGATGATTTCCTGGCTTTGGGGGGTGGAGCTCATTAACTATGCTTCCGTAGGGGAAGGCGAAGAGGCCTAGAGCTGGGGGCAAAACCTGTTGGGGAAGGGCCACACCGGGCACCAGCCCCGCCTAGCTATCATAGAGGAGAGTAAAGTCAAAGGTGCTCATCCCGGAGACCAGTGGACTCAATCCCTGACACCAACAGCACCAGCACCATGCCGATGACACTGGGTTACTGGGACATCCGTGGGGTGAGCGCCCACCTGACGGTGGAAACAATCGCCGCGGGGCTAGAATGAGGGAAGCGGTGAGGGGGCGGATCCTAGAGGAATTCCTTTGCTTGTCTGGCTCAGAATCCTGCACACGTGCTTGCTGGTGCGTGCGCCTGTGTGTACTCACTTGGCGGGAGGTGAAGTCACATAGAAATCCCCAGACCCCATTCCTGACCTATCTCTACAGCTGGCTCATGCTATTCGCCTGCTCCTGGAATACACAGACACAAGCTATGAGGAGAAGAGATACGTCATGGGCGGCGGTAATGCCATCTTCTGGTCAAACTTCTTCCTTACCCCTGTCTATTGGTGCTTAGCAGCCCTTTTCTGACCTACATTACATGACAGGGCTCCTCCAGGTGGACTTAGAATCTTCCTCTTCCAGAAACCTCCAGAGGGTGGGCTTGATCTTAATACTGAATCCTGGTAATGGAGGGTGGGTCCCCACTGCAGTTGAAATTAGATCACATTCCCCATGAAGACTTGCCTGAACCGTTTGTAAGTTTTAGAGATGTAGGACCCACAGCCCCAAGCACTTGTCATCCCTGGTACCTTATGTTGTGAGATTCAGTGTGTGGGTTGCAATTCCCTGCTTTAGGAGGTTGGGTTCCTGGAATAGGCTTGTTGGACACTAGGCTGATTTCTTTTTATGTAACCTTATCAACCACAGCTCCTGACTATGATAGAAGCCAATGGCTGAGTGAGAAGTTCAAGCTGGGCCTGGACTTTCCCAATGTAGGTGCAGGGAAGGGAGGTTTGGGGAAGGCATGGCGTCCTCACCTCATCTCCTTGACTGGCTGAGGGGGTTTGGGGTCAGAGCTTCTGCTCTCCTGCTCCCATTCCTGGTGGTTGCACAGGGTGATGGGCTGTGTCCCAGCTCTTCCATTCAGTGTGCACTGTGTTCATGGAGGACTTCCCATGCTAGCCTCGCTGAATGCCAGGCCACATGGCCACATGTCTGTCCTAACCCAGGGAAGTGAGGCTGGGACCTTATATCCCATCTGACTGTCCCTGCTTGTCTTTCCAGCTGCCCTACTTAATTGACGGGCCCCACAAGATCACCCAGAGCAATGCCATCCTGCGCTACATTGCCCGCAAGCACAACCTGTGTGAGTGGGGCTGGCTGCAGGGTGGGGCATGGGGGACAATCTCCTTGTCTGGACTGGTGAGGGATGCTGATGGTGAATGTCCTTTGTGTGCTGCAGGTGGAGAGACAGAGGAAGAAAAGATTCGTGTGGACATTTTGGAGAACCAGGTTATGGATGTCACCAATCACCTTGCCAGAATCTGTTACAGCCCAGACTTTGTGAGTCTCATCCTGCTCCCGTGCTGGGTTGGACCAGGCAGTGTTTGGGTCAGGAGTCAGCTCTTTCCGATTCCCATCTGCACAGGTCTTATTTACCTTCTGATTTCCTTAGCCACTTATTCTCCAGGATGTGTTCTGTGTTATCACCAGCAGTCCCCAGTACACTGAAATATCAAATGAACACTCTTACTTAGGCCCTACCTGTCTTAGTCCAGACTTCCCAGAGCAGACATTAAGTTTCTCAATAATAGATCTTCTGGGCTGGAAAGATGGCTCAGTGGTTAAGAGCATTGCCTGCTCTTCCAAAGGTCCTGAGTTCAATTCCCAGCAACCACATGGTGGCTCACAACCATCTGTAATGAGGTCTGGTGCCCTCTTCTGGCCTGCAGCATACACACAGAAGGAATATTGTATGCATAATAAATAAATAAATATTAAAAAAAATATATCTTCTGTACCCCCATAATAGGTTTCCCTGCCAACACAGTAAACCAGATCAAGCTGAATTGAAAAAGTCCTAGAATAGGTTTATTTGAGCAAAGCAACTCCTGGGTGGACTCTCCACTCCCAGAGATTGAGGCCAAAGGAGTCATGTGCCAAAAAGAAAGCAGGGAGATTACATAGATTGTAGGTGCGGGGTGATGATGTCTCCACTATAAGCTGTGCTTGTGCCCAGATATGGTCAAGAGCTGAATGCTTAGACAGGGACTTGGGCTGCTGGCAGAAACAGGAGAGGAAGCTGCAATGCTCACCAGAAATGCAGATGGAACTGGGCTTTTTGGTACCTTTTTCTTATTTTTTTTATTTTTTTTAAATATTTATTTATTTATTATGTATACAATGTTCTGTCTGTGTGTATTCCTGAAGGCCAGAAGAAGGCACCAGACCTCATTACAGATGGTTGTGAGCCACCATGTGGTTGCTGGGAATTGAACTCAGGACCTTTGGAAGAGCAGGCAATGCTCTTAACCACTGAGCCATCTCTCCAGCCCTGGTACCTTTTTTTTAGTTCCGAGTCTCTGGGCAGGGCTTGGAGAGAGAGAGACAGGACTGGGGCTTTCTGGATCATGCAGGGGCAAACTGGAGGGTCCACCGAAACCCTAGATAGTGACGTCATGTTTCCCAAGTGTTCTCCACCTGTGCCCTCTGCTTAGGCCCTCACCAGGTAGTTCATATCATTGCTGTCCATTAAATACAAGTACACTCAATGGATCAGAAAAAGAAGTCCAGGATGAAGACTCACAGGGAACCCAGGAAGTGCCTGAAGGTCTTTCTCTCCTTTCCTTCAGCCTCAAATCCTCCTCAGTTTATGGGGCAAACTCAAGTATATTTCATTCTTCTGGAACCTATGATATGGAACTCCCATCTTCTCTGCCTACTTTCAGTTCTTGCTTCTTTGGTGCTGCCTCTCATCAGCCCCAGAGTCTGACAGTGCTCTGGGCACTCATGGGTTTAGACATCAGGAATGATGATTTCCCATTGTGGACAGTTGTCCTTTTCTTCTCTGGCTTTTCCATTGCATTTGTAGGGTGGCATGAGCTACCATGGAATCCGGTAAATAAGTGTTGATATGTGGAATCAAAGCCTGGGGCCATCTTAGTGGAGATGGCTTCCTACCCCGTGTAGGACCATGCCTGGTACTGCTGACCTGGTCGCTCTGTCAGGGAACTCTGTGGTGATAGCTGTTTCTGCTTCAGGAGAAACTGAAAGGAGAATACCTGGAGCAGCTCCCTGGGATGATGAAGCTCTTCTCACAATTCCTGGGGAAGCAGACATGGTTTGTCGGTGAAAAGGTAAAAGAGAAGAAGCTGGGGGTTGTCATTTTTCCAGGGGCACAGAATTTCATGCCCCCTCATTCTTGGCCTTTTGCAGATAACTTTTGTGGATTTCCTTGCTTATGATATCCTGGACCTAAACCGTATATTCGAACCTAAGTGTCTGGACGCATTCCCAAACCTGAAGGACTTCATGGCCCGCTTTGAGGTGATGCCCTTATCCTCCTTCCTCTTGGCTGTCAACTTTTCCCTAATGTTTTCTTGGTCTTGGAGATGAAGTGAAGAGCAGGTAGCATGAGTTGAGCGCTCTCTTTCTCCCAGAATCTGTGCTCAGCACCTGGTCTCTGTTGTCAAAGTTCATCTTTACAGCCTTCCACAAGGGTGGGGAAGTCATCTGTCCCACAGCTCAGATAAGGAAATGTGAAACTCTGGAGGGTTACCTACCCACTCAAGATTTCTGCAGCAGTAGAACTGGGCTGCAGTTGCTGTTGGCTCCTGCTCCTCAGGGCAGCGGGTAGCTGCTGCAGACTGGGTTACGTGAGGTACCAGGATGTAAAGGATACTTGTGCTTGGTCTGCTGAATGCTTTGCCGAACCTTTGTGAGGCTCCTGTTAGAGAATTGAATCCTGAGGTGTGTGTCATGGGCTCTCCTCCCTCAGGCCTTTCATTTTTTCCTTTTGAGTGTCCAGCTGTTCCTTTTTTTTAATTATTATTTTAATTATAGTAGCATGCTGGGTCTGACCATCCTACACAAAGGCAAGATGGTGATCCCAGCTGTTCCTTTTGTGAGATTCGCCACTTTATTTTTCTGTTTCCTGATTTTTGTATGAGGCATAAGTTATGCCCAGAATTAAAGGAAAAGGTGGTTCTTAGACCCTCCTGGGGACCATGTGTATTAGATAATATCAGGCAAACCAGACTGGGATGTGTGTGTGTGTGTGGTACCACCAGGGTGCTGGGGAGTCCTGTTTCGCTGGAGACTACTTGTTTGATATCTATGCCATCTTCTGTATTAGAAATTGGGGGTTGGAGACCTAGGTCCAATGGGCTTTTCAGTCTGGAACTCATTTTCCTGTCTCATTCCTTACCAAGTGATGTGATTTCTCAGCCAGTTCTTGTCATTTGGTCTGAACTGCGTGAGTAGGAGAGGAAGAGGCTGGGGAGTGTTGAAGGCTGCAGCTTTAGGCTCAGTGTGAACTTGGTCTCTTGATCATAGGCAGCTCCGGACATCTGAACTCTTTAGAGATTTTCTGGAGGCTCGCTCTCTTGGTAGAAGACAAATAGCACATGTAACTGTCATTGACCCTGGTCCCTCTATCACGACTGGAGACAGGATTGGTTGAGGCTCAATACAAGGTGCAAAAAGTTGACCTTCTCCTTAGGGAATGATTAGGGCAAGCCTGGCTTTACTTTTCTGGTCTACTATAATCTATAAACTTTGACCCCGGTTTTACCAAGTCACTAGATAAGATAGGGGTTATCTGCCAGCCATTCCCCTTTCCATCCAGATTCCTATTCAGGAAATATAGAGTTTATGTGTGCAAGGAGCAGGTCTGTATAGATGGTGTGATAAGGCCTGTTAGGGAGGGCAGGAAGGGAGTGCCAGGAGAGAGTACAGCATTGGAGAGACAGAGGCCAGGCTGATCCCAAATGTGTGCTAATGACTAGCAGTATGAGCAAGAGGAAGTTGATTGCCCTCTCTGGCCCTGAGCAAACCTAAATCTTGGTTTTCTTTTTTTTTTCTAACTCTCAGGGACTGAAGAAGATTTCTGCCTACATGAAGAGTAGCAGCTTCATTTCAAGACCTCTGTTTTCAAGATGGGCCACGTGGGGGAATAAGTAGAGCCTTAACAGGGCAAGAGGTGGGATGAGGGACCTGGGGCTCTGGCAACTTTGAGCTTCCTGTAGCCCTGGCACTTCCTTCTTCTTTCTGTCCCCTTACTGACCCCAGAGTGTTTTGGGTCTTCTTTTCTTTCACCCAGTCTTGGCCCTTTCAAGCCCTTTAAAGCCTTAAGTTTCCTTCAGCAAAGTGCCCTTCTAGTGTGGCTGTCTGCACCCACTTGACCGACAGTCTTACCTGTCAGTTGCTGTGATGTCATGAAAAGTTGGGACTCAGAGCTCAGCCTGGGCCTTCTAGCGAGCTACTAATCTAGAGATGCTGATGTATGAGGTCTCTCTGGACTATGTCAGGTACCACTGTTAGCCCTGGACTACCCTAGCCCTCGGTTGCACTGCCTGCTATCTCTGCTGCCTCCAAAGACTGCCTCTTGACCTGGCAGAGTTTTGCAAGGATTCTGGTTGGATAAGCAGGGGTTGGACTTCCTGAGGCCATCTGATAGCCTCTCACCAGGCAGCTGCAGGAGGCTCTGTGGAGCTCAAAGGGAGCCTTTGGGGGTTTGGGATCGCCTATGCTCTAGCACTGCTCGGCTTTATACGGGTCTCAGGGGTGAGGACCCAGGCCTGGGGAGTCTCCAGGAGGAAGCCGGAATCCTCTCTGCCCCGCATTAGTATGGAACAGTAATATCCATGTGTCACCAGGACCCTGTCTCCTCTGTCCCTGATGCCTCTGGAGTTTCCTGTCTCTGTCACCAGGGATGGGGACCAACCTGATTAATCCCCTATCTCTGTGAGCCGCTGTGAAATAAATTTCTTCATGCTTTCATAATTTCAGGTGTCTTTTCATACCATTTATATCAGCATTCTTTGGATAGGCATAGAATTGTAGCATGAACATTTCATTTCAGATATGCCCCAGCCAGCCTCCCCCAGAAATGAGTGTTTCTGCTAAGAAGAATCCAGTCTTTCTGACCAGGAGTCATTTGTACATGCTCTACTTCAACACTCCAGATGACCTCCTTTGGCTTGAGATCTCCAAGTCAGAGCGTTTGAAGGGATCCATACCCCGCCTGGTTCTTCTTCCCCCACTTTTGCAAACTTCCCTAGCTCAGGCTTCTCCTGCTCAGATCTAAAATGAAGTTTCTCTGGGCTGACAATGCTGTCTCCAAGAGCCAAAAGCTGCTGAACAAAACTCACACCAGTCATGAGCAACCCTCTTTTTGAGTTGCGGGTCAGGGCTGTCCGAGAGTCTGTCAGAACATTACAGGCTATAACACTGGCATTGGTTGCCCTCTCCTATTGCTGAACATGCTACATACTTCAGACACAGGGCCCAGAGGCTCCTCAGATGGATCTGACATGAAACCCTCCCTCTGAGAATTCCCTTTCATCTTGGAAGAAGGTACCATGTAAGCTACCAAAAGAGGCAGGCAACAGTAGCCCTCAGCTGTGATGCCTGTGAACCATAGCAATGGCCGCCATGTTGTGGCAACCCTTACGGTGCAGTAGTGGTATACATACCTTGATGGTAACCAACAGTTTTCTCATTGGACTTAAGGCCTGCTCAACAAGAGGAAAAACATCCCTGGAATAGGAAACCTAGTCTGTTGCCCGTGACTAGGGAAGTCATAGCCCCAAAGTGAGCATCCAGTCACTTAGCCTGTAGAACCATGACAAAGCATTAGTTAGTGGAACAGCGACTAACCTGCAAGATTCTAGACTAACCTGCAAGATTCTAGCGTATTCCCTGCAGAGTGGTTCACATACAATGGGTGGCAACAGTTGGTGAATTTGTGCAATAATTGGAACATTTGGAGACGCGGCGGAGCGGCGGCGGCGGCCAGACGCGGCGGAGCGGCGGCGGCGGCCAGACGCGGCGGAGCGGCGGCGGCGGCCAGACGCGGCGGAGCGGCGGCGGCGGCCAGACGCGGCGGAGCGGCGGCGGCGGCCAGACGCGGCGGAGCGGCGGCGGCGGCCAGACGCGGCGGAGCGGCGGCGGCGGCCAGACGCGGCGGAGCGGCGGCGGCGGCCAGACGCGGCGGAGCGGCGGCGGCCAGACGCGGCGGAGCAACACCGCATACAGGAAGAGGCTTTCGGGGACCTGCGCAGAGACAGACCCAAGCGGCGGGAACAGGCGTGCAATAAGGAGAGCAGATCGCCCTACTACAATCGAATCAAAGAGGACCCATTGGATAGGATCAATAGGAGGAGATGGGCAGGCGCCAAGGCAAGAATTCTCCCAATAATCCGAAAAACAACATGAAAACATCAGAACCCAATGATCTTACAACAGAAGTATTTGAACAACCTAACACAGAAGAAATGGAAAAAATCGACTTTATGAAGATAATAGAGTCCCTTAAACAACATGTAAAAAATGCCCTTATAGAAATGGATGAGAAGTATAACAAAAAGTTTGAAGAAATGAGTAAATACGTACATGATACCCTGGGAAACCAAGAAAAAACCATCAAACAGGTAATGGAAACAGTTCAAGAATTGAAAACTGAAATGAAGGCAAAGAAGATAATACAAACTGAGGACCAGCAGGATATGGAAAATCTAGGCCAACGAGCAGAGTCTACAGAAACAAGCATAATCAATAGAATACAAGAGCTAGAAGAAAGACTCTCAGATGCTGAGGACACCATAGAGAAAATAAACGAACAGATCAAAGAAAACAGCAAAGCCAACAAATTCTCAACACAAAACATTCAGGAACTATGGGACACAATAAAAAAACCAAACCTAAGAATAATAGGAATAGAAGAAGGAGAAGAGTCACAGCTCAAAGGCCCAGAAAATATTTTCAACAAAATTATGGAAGAAAACTTTCCCAACTTAAAGAAAGATATTCACTTAAATATTCAAGAAGCATACAGAACACCAAACAGACTGGATCAAAGAAAAACATCTCCTCGCCATATAATAATCAAAACACAAAATATACAGGTTAAAGAAAAAATATTAAGAGCTGCAAAAGAAAAAGGGCAAGTAACTTATAAAGGTAAACCGATCAGACTTACACCTGACTTCTCGATGGAAACTATGAAAGCCAGAAGGTCCTGGATAGAGGTTCTGCAGAAGCTAAGAGACCATGGATGCAAACCCAAACTACTATACCCAGCCAAGCTATCATTCATTATCAATGGAGAAAACAAAACATTCCAGGATAAGAACAAATTTAAACAATACGTAGCCACAAATCCAGCCCTACAGAAAGTAATAGAAGGAAAATCGCAACCCAAGGAATCCAACACTGCCAACACTGCCTACAATAACCCAGGCATCTAATGACCCTTCACGAGCACATCTCAAAGAAGGGAGACAATCTCTACTACCAAAAGCAATAAGAATAACCGGAGTAAACAACCACTGGTCATTAATATCACTTAATATTAATGGGCTCAATTCACCTATAAAAAGGCACAGGCTAAAAGATTGGATACGAAAACAGGATCCAACATTCTGCTGTTTGCAAGAAACACATCTCAACCACAAAGACAGGCACCTACTCAGAGTAAAGGGTTGGGAAAAGGTGTTTCAAGCAAATGGTCCTAAGAAAAAAGCAGGTGTGGCCATACTAATTTCTAACAAAACTGACTTCAAACTAAAATCAATCAGAAGAGACCGAGACGGTCACTTTATACTCATAACAGGAACAATTCATCAGGAGGAGGTCTCAATCCTGAATATATACGCCCCCAATATAAAAGCACCTACTTATGTAAAAGAAATATTACTAGAACTCAAGGCAGACATCAAACCACACACACTAGTAGTAGGAGACTTCAACACACCTCTCTCTCCAAGGGACAGGTCAATCAGACAGAAACCTAATAGAGAATTAAGAGAATTATTGGAGGTAATGAAGCAAATGGACTTAACAGACATCTATAGAACATTCCACCCAAATAGGAAAGAATATACCTTCTTCTCTGCAGCTCATGGAACCTTCTCAAAAATTGACCACATACTCGGAAACAAAGGAAACCTCCACAGATACAAAAAAATATCAGTGTCCACCTGTGTCTTATCAGATCATCACGGATTAAAATTAGAAGGCAACAACCACGCTGCCCCCAAAAAACCGACAAACTCATGGAAACTGAACAGTCAACTACTGAACCACACCTGGGTCAAGGAAGAAATCAAGAAAGAAATTAAAGTCTTCCTTGAATTTAATGAAAATAAAGGGACAACATACTCAAACCTATGGGACACAATGAAAGCAGTGCTAAGAGGAAAGTTCATAGCACTAAGTGCCCACTTAAAGAAAACGGAGAATGCATACATTGGGGACTTAACAACACACCTGAAAGCTCTAGAAAAAAAAGAAGCAGACGCGCCCAGGAGAAGTAGAAGACTGGAAATAATAAAACTGAGGGCTGAAATCAACAAAATAGAAACACAGAAAACAGTCCAAAGAATCAATGAAACAAAAAGCTGGTTCTTGGAGAAAATCAACAAGATCGACAAACCCCTATCCAAACTAATTAAACGACAGAGAGAGAACACGCAAATAAATAAGATCAGAAATGAAAAGGGGGACATAACCACAGACACAGAGGAAATTCAGAGAATCATTAGATCTTACTACAAAAGCCTGTATGCCACAAAACTGGAAAATACAAAAGAAATGGACATTTTTTTAAATAAGTACCACATACCAAAGCTAAACCAAGACCAGGTGAATGATCTAAATAGACCGGTTTCTCGCGAAGAATTAGAAATGGTTATCAAAAATCTCCCTTCGAAAAAAAGCCCAGGACCAGATGGTTTCAATGCAGAATTCTACCAGAACTTCCAAGAAGAACTAATACCTATACTCCTTAATGTATTTCACAATATAGAATCAGAAGAGTCATTGCCAAATTCCTTTTATGAAGCTACAGTTACCCTGATACCAAAACCACAAAAAGACCCAACCAAGAAAGAGAATTACAGACCGATCTCACTCATGAACATCGACGCAAAAATTTTCAATAAAATACTGGCAAACCGAATCCAAGAACACATAAGAAAAATTATCCATTATGATCAAGTAGGCTTCATCCCAGAGATGCAGGGCTGGTTCAACATACGCAAATCTATCAATGTAATCCACCATATAAATAAACTGAAAGAAAAAAACCATATGATCATTTCACTAGATGCTGAAAAAGCATTCGACAAAATTCAACACCCCTTTATGATAAAGGTCTTGGAGAGAATAGGGATACAAGGGTCCTACCTAAATATTATAAAAGCTATTTACAGCAAGCCAACAGCTAACATTAAATTAAACGGAGAAAAACTCAAAGCCATCCCACTTAAATCAGGAACACGACAAGGATGTCCACTCTCTCCATACCTCTTCAATATAGTGCTTGAAATTCTAGCAATAGCAATAAGACAACATAAGGAGATCAAGGGGATTCGTATTGGAAAGGAAGAAGTTAAGCTTTCGTTATTTGCAGATGATATGATAGTGTACATAAGCGACCCCAAAAATTCTACCAAAGAACTCCTACAGCTGATAAACAGCTTTAGTAATGTGGCAGGATACAAGATCAACTCCAAAAAATCAGTTGCCTTCCTATACACTAAGGATAAGGAAGCAGAGAGGGAAATCAGAGAAGCATCACCTTTCACGATAGCCACAAATAGCATAAAATACCTTGGGGTAACCCTGACCAAGGAAGTGAAAGATCTACTTGACAAGAACTATAAGTCTTTGAAGAAAGAAATTGAAGAAGACACCAGAAAATGGAAAGACCTCCCTTGCTCTTGGATTGGGAGGATCAACATAGTAAAAATGGCAATTCTACCAAAAGCAATCTATAGATT